CAGTATTGCTGTTCTGCTATGGCACTTGCAGTTGGAATTGCAGTTAATGGCATAACTGATGCTGCTGGGCTTTAATAGGGATAGTGTGAAACAAAACAGTGACAGTTGAAATCGCAGGTGAGGTCACTTCATGATCTCTGCTTCCTCTAGGCTAGAACACCTTTTGGGTTTGAGTAGTGGAAAAGATGAGGTTTCCTCACTTTCTGGTGGAAGATGAGGGTGTGCATGTTTTGATCTCCAGGGCAGGGAAAGAGTTTGTGGAGTCTCCCTCCTTGCAGGTATTCAAGAACCCTCTGGACACAATGCTGTGCTCTGGAATGACCCTGCTTGAGCAGGGAGGTTGGACCAGATGACCCGCTGTGTTCCTTTCCAACATGACCCATTCATGAAAGGTGCTGGTGTGTCAGGGTGGGATCTCCAGGGACGTAGCAGTCCTTCTTAAAAGTGCCAGTCTTGAGCCAGTTGCCAGCCTGTCATGGATTTTATCAGTAACTTCCTAAGAAGTGAGTAGGAGGCATTGATTTTCTGGCTCTGGGATGGAATATAGCTGTTAGTGCAGTGTTTAGGCTGCAAAATTGTTTCCAAAGGCTGAGTTACAGAAAGTTAAGGGCTGGAGCACTGCCTAACCACTCCATCCCTCACAGAAGGGATCTCCTCCCTTCTGCGTGCCTGCTGGAGGGCGCATGGGTGTGAATTTGGTGTGTTGACTCAGTCTTGGGTGGTATCAGCAGCTTGCTGTGGTCTCTTATTTATGTTGTTTAAGCAACCTTTGCACCTAGTGCTGCATGTCACTGAAGTCTGAGCACCTGGAAAAGGTGAGAAAAGCAGAGTGAAATGGAAATATGTATTGATTCTGCTGTTCAGCTGGGGAAAGTTACTGTAGAAGTTAGAGTGCTCTCAAAAACACATTAATGCTGCATTTGTGTTTCACAGAGAGGAGGAAGCTATTTATCAAATAGCTGATCAGGAGAATGCATTTTGAATGCTCTGCTTTCAGCATTGCATTGCTTCTTAAAAGTGGTAATGAAAACTGTGCCCTTTCATTCTTCTGGTTTCTCCCACTGCTCCTCCATGGCGCTGTATTGTCTCTTGCGAAGGGATGTAGGTTTTGTTCTAGTGTGGGGAGTGACCGGGTGGTAGGTCATGTGCTGGATTTAGTTAGAATGTAATCTTTTGGCCATCTGCTCAGGCACTCCCTGTGTTGCATTCCTCTCCTTTGCAAGCAAGTGTTGCAGGTGATCTGCGATGTGCAGGTGTTCAGAACACTCGGGTTCCCTTTATCTGAGTATGACCACGTGCCTGCTTAGGACGTTTGAGCAGTGTTTTCTGAGCCTTGCAGTAATTTGGCATGCTTAATTTTAATTATCTCACTGGTGTATGTAGCACCTGCTCAGAAAACCAAAAACAAACATCCAGACTGTTCGAAAAATATGTGGATAACAGGCTTTCTCCTTTGAACTGAGTTTAAGAATATTTTGGTATATACTCTGCTATTGTTTTTTGTCTTCTCACAATGATTCTGGATTTTTTTTTTTTTAATTTCTGGCTTGTGTTTTCCTTTCCTAGTCTTTAGAAGTTTGTCTGACCCTCCAGTTCTTTGTAAGTGATGGCTGTAGAGCATCTGGAATCTTGCTATGGCTTTTCAAAAAAAAATATTTTAGTTTAGTTTAGTTTACTTTTTTTTTTTTTATTAAGTTGCAGGCAATACTTCAACTTAATTTCTGTTTTGTGTCTGATTAGAGTAATGCCAAAATGGTGAGAGATGCTTAGAGGGAAGAAAAAAATCTCTGGATGAATTTAATGTTTACATTAAATTTTGTCTGCTTTCTAATAACTCCATGGAATAGATGTATCTCTATATGCTCAAGTCTTTTTTGGAGATTAAATGAAATTTTGTGTGCAGGAAGAGCAGGTGCATCTCTGTGCATCTCTTTCATAAGTGTTGCACATGGCGCTGCAAAGCACTAGGTCTTGCCTTCCTTTCTAATTTTCTATCATTTTCATTCCCACCCTGGTGTCCTGCTCATCCTGTGCAGTGGCATAGGATTGGCATAGTTCGATGTTTGCATCTGAGAGGATGCACTTCGTGTGCCGCCGAGTTTGCTGAGACAAGCCATTTGAAACTGAACAGAATTTGACATCTCCAGCTGGTTTAAAAATGCTTCTTCCCCAGAGAGCGGGAGTACTGTGGGATAACTGGGAGTGAGTCAGGAAATACCTGAGCTAGACCATTAACTTACGTTATGTTTAGGTTTTTGCTTTGCGGCAATGCAGGAGCATCTGTACCTGTAAAATCTGGTGTTGCTGGGTGCTCTAGAGAATAATTTCATTTTGTGGTACAAGTTTTATATTTTAAAAATGAGATTTTATATTATAAAAATGTACTGTTACACATGGCTTGATTTCAAAGTACTTTCATGCTGTGTCATGTAGCAGTGAATTTTCAGCCTTTGCTGTAATGCTGAGTAACTAAGGCATCAGTAACTAATGCAGAGCTTCAGAACTCAACTTTGAGTCCTTCCTGAGAGCTTGGCATAGAGGAGCTCTAACGAGAGAAGGAGCAGGTGTGTGTACAGATGTTTCCTTAGTAGTGTTCTTTTGGAAAGCTGTGGCCCTTTGTAGCATTGTGCATGGTGTATGGTGCAATGCATCTCACCTGCAAGTTCCCTGGGCTGACAAACAGGCTGGGTCTTAGCAGTGCCTAGCAGCCCATTCCATCTCCAAACTCCCAGAAATTCAAGCTCTTATATGGGGAATCCTGCAGTCTCCCAGCCAGTCATGGGAGATGTTCTGGGAGCTGCACTTCTGCAATGCTTTCTGCACACCCCTAGGAAGTGCTTTCCCATGGGGCTAACAAAATAAAAACACACTCAAGTAATTTTTCATGGGAATTTTTTGGACATGCTATGTAGGCTTGCAGATAGAGCAAAAGAATTACTGATGAGATGAGACTCCCAGGTTTGTGATTCAGCTCTTAGTTATACGTTCTATTTATTGCATGCACTTGGTAATTTATTTGCATGCACTTTGTCTAGAGGAATGGTGCTCATTCCTGGAAGTTGCTAATGATTCAGTTTTTGACATGTGGGTCTGTAGCAGGCTTGTGATCTTTGTTTAGTCTGACTGCTTCCCCTGGGTATCCATGATGCAGCCCTTGCTGAAGCCCTAAACAGGCAACCCCTCTCAGCTGCTGAGGCAGTGCAGGGTTTGCTGCCTTTCATCAAAGGAACCTTTGATGAATATTTAGGAGCTGTGACCGCAATGTACAAATGGCATCTGTCTCTTAGTTTGCATATTGCTGATGCAGAGGCTGTGTCTCTTCTCTGTGTTTAGGAGCCAGTGGCCCACTCCAGCTGCTTTTTTAGCAAATAATACCAAATTTCTACACTGGGGTTGCCTCTGCTTCCCTGCTAACAGTAGTGGAGCTTGTCACAAACAGGGAGAGGCCAGCAGAAGCTTTCTGTGTGTCCACTGCCTGCTTTTGCCTTTTTTCCCCAGGCACATGCGCTTGTTTCTTTGTCTCCTGCCTCTTGCAGAGGAGGGGAGCAGGGAGGTTCAGACATTAGCTGGTGCCTGCCCACTTCAGGGCAGTATTTAATGAAACGTCTGCTTTTGTGTGGTATGCAAAGGAGCCTAGAAAGTGGATAGATTGTCCTGCATATTTCTCAGTGGCTAAACAGACTGATACAGAGATTTAAAGGCATCTGCATCTTCAGTCAAGAACAGTGGCCCGCACTTTTTTGCTTGCACCATTACGTTCAGCATCAGGTGTGCTTCAGGCCCTGAATCTGGGAGAAAATGAACCAATTTATTTTGGACCTAAAGGCTTGTGGGCCTTGTCAGTCTAGGTGAAAGCTCCAGCCCTTTTAGCAGTAATGGTTCCTAATGTACCTGGTGCAGCATTTTCCTTCATGCAGGCATCTGCCTGGACTGTAAATGCTCACAAAGGAGAATTTCTCAAATAGCAATCTCAATAGACTGTTATCACACTTTGTTGCTGCTTTGCTGCTCTGAGTGCAATGGTGTCAGGGTATTTAAAAAAAAAAAAAAAAAAAAAAAAAGTTTGTTTCCAGAACTTTTATATTGAAAATTGGACACTGTGAGCCTCTAATAAGTATTGGCAGCTCTGTTTCCTAGAGGAAGTTTTACTGCACCAGCTTTTAAATATTTTTGTTCTTTGGTATATCTTGCTTCCTATCTTGTTAATGTGTTTTCTTCTTAGGCTTAGTTTTCCACTGGGACAGCTAGCTGGAGCCTGGAGATGTCTTCCCTTAGTGCTTACACTTAGCAATTCTAGTGAGGATATGAGCTTGCAAAAGGGAAATGTAAACAAAATCTCCCCTAGGTAGACATGGACCTTCTCCATCTGGTGAGATAAGAGCCAATACTGTTTTATGTTTTAACAATTCTATTTTTATATATAAATACTGTCCTGGAATTAAATTAACAGAGTAGAGGTTGTAAAAATGACATTTGAGTTTACACTGCTGTTTGTTTGGCTTATTGAATTTAATTGACAATGTCATAGTATAGAGCTACTTACAGAGCTGCTCTTCAGGCTTGATGATTTTCAATTTGTGCTCTGCTATACCGTGTTTAGAGAATTTCTTTGTTTATAAAGAATTGTTTATTTCTTCTAGAGTGTTTGTAAGTAACCTTATAAGTGAGATGGTATGAAATGACATCTTGCTAAGCAGCAGTTACTTCTGGTTGCAAAGGGGTGATGTTGAGATTGCTTTGCATTAGACATATCACATTGCTTTCTAAACATTAAGTTTGTGATTGTTTTTTTAAATGCATGACTTTAGAGAGCTGCCATGGGGTACAACAGTTTTTGTCTCCAGATCTGTTTACTGAGTGTGAATTTCCAGCTGCTAGGACTGTGTGGGGATGTTGTCCAGTTAATATGATGCACTGTGCTGCTTTAACTCAAAGGAAACTAGCACGACAAAATCACTGACAGTCTCTTATTTTGTTCTTTTCCTTTTTTGTCTTTACAGTAAAAAAAGCTAAACTCCATGGACCACCAGGTAAGTCATGCTCTTCTGCTTGTTTGCAGCAATGGGGACCTCAGCTCTATCACTGCTGTTCGTGGTGTTTCCAGTTCGTGGTGCCTCCAGTTTTTCTCCACTTCATCTCAGCTCCTTCATGTTCTCCTTAGGAGTGACCTAATCTACCTTGAGAATCCAGGCAGTTTGAATTAGTAGAAAAGTTGAGGCTGTGACCTGGTGTCACAGAGATAAGAAACCTCTGTCTGCTCAACTTGGCCTGAACAGGTGATGAATGAGGAAATGTGTTCCTTAACTGTCACCCTTCCCCACCCACCCGGCCCTTTCATCTCATCCTGCTGCTTTCCCTGTTCAAAACAGGGTCTGAAAATATCCACTAAGCAGAACTGGTGTGTGTGTCTGCGGATTTAGTGCCTTCTCAATCCTGACTGGGTCTGCTGGATGGGACTGCAGAAGTGAATCTGAATGTGGCAGTCAGTAATGGCTGCGCTTGGAGTTAAAATCCCATCCAGGTTTTGTGTGTGCAACAACTGGTCACACCCAGAATTTACAGTCTGGGCAACTTCTTTTCACTGTGGTTCAGAAGCTAGCAAGGAATCCCTTAGCAAGCAAATAGATTTATCAATTGAAATTCAGTGTACAGTTTACAAAAGAATAAGCACTTTTATAAAATTCCTGTAAATAAAAGCTTCTGGCATACCACCTATTCAAGTGTTTGGATCTGAAACAGTTGCCCACCTGTATTCATAACTTAATTGTTCAGCTTAATTCTTTCAATATAGCCATCCTCAGATTATGGCAGAAAACTTTCCAGGACTCATCCATATTCCACAGCAGATCAAGATCTGTCTGTGCACCAACCTTTAATTTCCAGGGAAGGAAAACTGAGTGCCCAGACTGGAAGGGAGACAGTGTGCACTTTATCTTTTCCCTAATCAAGAGACCTGCTGACAAATGCAAAAGATTTGTCCTCTAGACTAGGTTTAATTCAGCCAAGGTGTGTGGTTTCACTGACAAGCTCAGTGTCCCACGAGGATGCAGGAGTAAAATAGACAGGGAGGGGTAATGTAGTAATGAATAACTGGGTATGTAAGAATCACAATTCAGTGACTCTGACTCCTTCCTGAGCTTCTGGGTCATGTAATTTCAGTTTCTTCCCTTCGTGTTAGGATATTGTAAGCTGGATGCTGAGGTGTGCTATAGTGACCTACAGCAATGATGCATTAAAATTGTACAATCATACAGTCATAGAATATTAAGGATTTGGAAGGGACCTAAAGAATTACCTAGCTCCATGCCATGGGCAGGGACACCTTCCACTAGACCAGGCTGCCCAGTGCCTTACCTGCCTGGCCTCAAACTCTACCAGGACTGGGCATCCACAGCTTCCTCATGCAACCTGAGCCAGTGTCTCAACACCTTCACAGTAAAGAATTTCTTGCTAATATTCTATCTAAATTTCACCTCTTTCAATTTGTACCTATTATTCCCTGTCCTGTCACTATGGTCCCTGATGAAGAGTAACTTCCTGGATTCCCTGTAGGCCCCTTCAGATATTGGAAGATTGCTGTGAGATCTCTACACAATCTTCTCTGTGCCAGTCTGAACTGTCCTGACTTCCTGAGCCTGTCTTCTTAAGGGAGGTGCTCCGCTCTTCTTACTGACTTTGTTTCCTCCTCTGCACTTCCTCCAACACTTGTGTGTCTTTCTTATGATGGAGATGCCAGAACTGTATACAGTAATCCAGGTGGGATGTCACAGGAGTAGAGGGAATGAATTTTCTTCCTCGACCTGCTGCTCACACTCCTTTGGTTGCAGGATGCATTTGACTTTCTGGGCTGCGAGCACACACTGCTGGCTTATGTTGAGTTACTAATCAGCCAACTTTATGAGTTTTGCACAGTCCCGCCTCTCCAGCCTGTCCAGGTCCCTCTGAACGGCATCCCTTCCCTCCAGAGCATGACTGCACCACACAGCTTGGTGTCACCGGTGAACTTGCTGAGGGTGCCCCTGATCCCACTGTTCTGTCACTGACAAGGATGATGAACAGTATCAGCCCCAGTTTCTGACCCCTGAGGGACACCACTTGTCACTGGTAACCAGGTGGATGTTGAATCACTGACCACAAGTCTTTGGGTTTGGCCAGCCAGCCAGTTCTTTATCCACAGAATCGTCCATCCATCAAATCCATGGCTGATTTAAAGACAAAGGTGTTGTGCTTTGCAACATCAGTTACTCTGCCCCATCCAACAGTGCTGTAGCCCTAGAGGGGCATCAAATTTGTCAGCTATGTTTCCCCTTTGTAAAGCCACCTTGGCTGTTACATCTTTGTTTTCAATGTGAAATTTTGACAATATTAAAATTGACTTTAATTCGAACACTGTGAAATGATGCACAGAACATTGAACTATTAAAATATGTACACTGCTTTCTGGGTACTTAACATGTTTTGTTGCAGGCTGATTGAAACTGATAGATAGGCCTGAGGTGATAATTCCCTTTAAAGGGAGTTTGAGCCTTCTTGCATGCTGATATTCAAACTTTGAATGTGTCTGTGCTTTCCTGCTTTTGGTTTTTTTAGCAAAGAGATAACAAAAATTAGGAAAAAAAGTTCTTCCAGGATTTTTCTTCAGATTTAAAATTAAAAGCAAAATATCTAAACAGAGGCTTTCTTGTCTGGATGTGAGTGTGATGTGGTTTTCCTAGGTCAGGTCTGTTTCTTCACACTTAGCAATAAATCTGTATTTTTCTTCTGACCCTGACTGGCCTGTAAAGTTCTTTGTGGACTCATGGGTGGAAAACTGAATTGGGACTAGGAGAGCAGTTGGGTCAGGAGGGAAGAGATTATATGACTGACACAATCTCTTGCTTGTATGGGTCAGGAGGGAAGAGATTATATGACCAGCCCCGTCTTCTGCTTGTATGTTTTGCAAGTTTATTTTTCACACTGTTTGGTATACATGATGAGTCCTGTGCCTTTGGACTGTCTCTTCTTCCTTTTGTCTGTATTTCAGGAGTGGCATCATACTAAGTGTCTGTGATCTTTAGGATTTTTTACTCCTTGTCCTTGTCTTACTGCAAGTGAACACTTGGGTTTTTTTGTTCATTTGTGCTTGGATTTCTAAAAAAGCTGTGATTGAAAATTTGATGCATGTGGAAAACATCTTGAACCTTTGGCTTCTTAAACCCAGTGATACCTTCCCATATGGGCTTTTCATCTGAGGCCTCTCTGGATGCGCTGTAGGAACTGAAAACATTGCAGTGTTGAAGGTGATGTGGTGAAAGAGTATGACGATGGAGGTAACATTTGGTGTTTCATCCCCCAGATAAATTCAATACGTATGTGACCTTGAAAGTGCAAAATGTGAAGAGCACGACGGTGGCCGTGCGAGGCGACCAGCCCTGCTGGGAACAGGATTTTATGTTGTAAGTATGGTGGTGCACAGCATGAAGTGCTTGTGGTTGAGTCCTTCTGCAGCCCTGGTGTTCATACAGAGCTGCTGGTGTGTGTAGGAATCGGAATGTTTGGATAGGTAAAATGCACAACCTATTGACAACCTAAATTATTTTCTTTCCTGTTGTACACATTGGCCTGTGGTGGAAGATGTGTGTTGGGAGATTGTCTCGGCTGGTGCCATGGACTGGCAATTGCCAGTCAGGTCTGTAGTGAGCGGCTGAGTCTGGGGCGGAACTGGGAAGTTGCTGTGTGGGTTGGGTCTGGATTGATGTTGTCCTTGGCCAGTATGTGCACAGCTGTGCCTGTAAGCTGAGACACACACACACACCTACAGCATAGCTTAGCCAAGGACTAAAGGCCCATAGCTGAGCTTAAATGGAGCTCCTGGGTGGGGGAAGAGTGTTGGAGAGGCTGCTCAGGGCAATTAAAGGCTGTAGTTAGTGCACTCAGGGCCTCTACGAGGTGATCCTGGTTACCTCAGTTGGGAGCTGCTCCGTGAGCAGCAGAACCAGTTCATTCCAGCTTTCCTGGGGCTTCTGGTGCACTTGGCACTTCTGATTTGCTTTGGTTTTCATAGACGTGACATATAGTCAAGGATTTCCCAGTATCTTTTAGAAGGGTGGGGTTTTTTTCTGGTGGATAAATTGATTGGTTGATTATACTGCATCTGCTTCTGTTTCTATAGCTTTGTAAGGCAAATTGAACTAAATTTACTAAATGGGGGGGGGGGGGGGAAATTATGTATTCATCTTGTGGGGTCAAAGCTAGTGCTGCTGTTTCTCAGTGGGTTTGAGGTGTTTACTTAGTATCTGTAGTATGACACTCCCCATGGAATTTTGTGAATATGTTTCCTAATCCAGCCTCAGTTTGTTTCTCCTCAGGTGAAAGTGGGAGGTTGTTGCCTCAGGTTAAGGAGGTCACCTGGGTCAGTACAGTATTTTCATCATAGCTGTGCTCTCACCTCCCTTGTTTGGTAGTACTCTGCTTTTGGAGCAGCACAAGAGGTGTGTGCTCCTGCACAGAGAGTCTGGAGCCTGTCCTTTGGCATCTGGTGAAAGGCACACGCCCCTGAACACCAGCTGCTCAGCTCTGCAGCTCCTGGTCAGACAGAGGCCACGGCTGTCACTGATGTAAAACATTTCAGGACTGGGTAAGGCTGGGACAAGGAATTGAACCTACCCTTCAAGTACATGCCCATGCTCAAACTACTAACTCTTTCTGCCTGTGATTTGTGCTCATCCTGTGGGCAGGAGCTAGTTTTAAACCCAGCCAGCTATGAAGGAGACTTCTCAGTGGTGATTTAAGAAAGCACTTGAATGTGTTGGATGAAGGCTCCTGTGGTTGCTTCTCCTCCCTCCCCTCAAGCAGCTCCTGGAGCTGCACTGGTACTAGCTGAGAGCTAAGCTAGCCTGCTGTAAAGTCACTGAGATGCTCCACAATTAGTTGCTAGGGAATATGGAAGCAGAATATTAGCTGAACTACCTTGCCATTATTGTCCCTGCTTTAGCCAGGCAACTCTACAGTAGTTCTGGTGTCTCCTTATAATAGAAATATTACATGTGGGAACAAATGTGTTTTGCATGATCCTATGTACATTAAGTTGTCCTAGGGGAAACAGTGCTGGTATTCCAATACTGCTGTTCTCTAGTTTGCTCTTTTTCTTTCTGGAGTTGGAGAAGGATTTTTTGAAACTCCAGAAGGATTTCTTTCTGGAGTTGGAGAAGGATTTTGTCTCCTATTATAAGGAGACACCAGAACTACTCTACAGTAGTTCTGGTGTCTCCTTATAATAGAAATATTACATGTGGGAACAAATGTGTTTTGCATGATCCTATGTACATTAAGTTGTCCTAGGGGAAACAGTGCTGGTATTCCAATACTGCTGTTCTCTAGTTTGCTCTTTTTCTTTCTGGAGTTGGAGAAGGATTTTTTGAAACTCCAGAAGGATTTCTTTCTGGAGTTGGAGAAGGATTTTGAAAAAGCAGTTTTTCCCCAAGGGAAGGCTGCTTTTACTATCTATGATGTGTTTACCTTTTTCATGAGGCATAGTAGAAGAACAGACCACAAGGAAAAAAAAAGGCTTCCTATCTGTGTTTGTTGGTTTTGCTGCCAAATTCCTTGTGAGACAAAGCACTGCAGAATTTGGGGCTCTGGGTTGTTTGAGATTTGGCTATGTACCAGACCAGTTAAGCACTTCAGTGTATTCCCTGGGGACCTCTTTGAATTTTGAAGGAGCTTTAAAACAACTGCGTATTTGCTGCATATTTGCAGGAAACACCTCGAGTGAAATTGCCCACTGATATTTAGAACAGTGATTAAATTGGTGTTGAAGTTGTGAGAAATGCCTTTATTTAAATCCTGTGTGTGTGTGGAAAGGGACAGACACTAAATTTTAGTCTCAGCTCTTTTGTTCTTAGAAGCTGTTCTGCATGTAACCAGAAGGTGGAGAAAGGGAGACACAAAGGCAGTCAAAGCCACTGTACAGAAATTCTTTTTATTTATTATTCTTGCCTGGTGACCTGTCCTTTGGAGATCTGTAGAGGAGCCCTTTGGGTGTATCATGACCAGTGTCCTGCTCTGACAGTGTATGCTGATGAAAAGTAAATGGTTTTACACTGTGACTGAAAATAGGGTATTACTTCCTTCCCTTCCCTTTCTGGACTCACACTGTTCCAGCCAGCAGTCAGCCAGTCATCATCAGCCTGCAATCTGATGAATATCAAGCAGGGTGAGGGCAGAGCAGTGCTGGTACAACAGTTGGCCATACTGAGTAACTTTGTCAGAGGATGCTGGAGACTCGATTACAAGATGACAGCAGTAAACTCATAGAAGGCTGCGTAACAGCTTGATTTTGGACTGTTGCAGACTGAGCCACTCAAGCACTGGATGCTCCTAACCTCAATTCCTGTGTGTCAAACAAGAACAGAAGCACTTGGATTTAAAATAGACATATATATGCTTTACTGTAACTGTAGGGTTTGTCTTGAACCTTGTAGATATGATGTTCTCTTTCAGTTGCAAGGAGACAAAGTTCAAGTGGATGCTTAGATTTGCAGCAGCTCTTTCTTATTTTGGCCATGATGGCAGTCTATAGAAATAAGACAGCAACATGCTTTTAAATGTCCTTGATAGCTGTAAGATAAATATATTTGGGCAGAGGGCAGCAGCACTGACTGTCCAAGACTTTTGGGGATTAACAGTTGCAATAAAGGGAAGCCCTGAGCTCGAAAAATTATGGGTTATAGCCTTTCTGCATGATAAGTGTGAAACAGCTATGCTGTCAACAGACAGCTCAGGATTCTTCTCTACTTTATTGTTTTTACCAGTGTCTACTGTGTACGTGTTAGGCTATTCTGAAGTAGGCATGTTACAAACAAGTATGCAGAAGTGAGGCATAAATGCTATAAAGCATTGAGAAGAAGCAAATTGAGAAGAAGCAAAAGGATGCAAATAGATGTATCCTTTTATTAATAAGAGGAAAGATGTTTGTGAAAACTTTCAGATCAGTATTTCTAAGAACCTGTCACCCAGTGGCCGTGTGGAAGTAACTGGTGCTGGAGCAGAAGTGGTGCCTCACAGCCCTGAGAAATAGGTAGTGCTGCTGTTGCAGCTGTGCTCGATGTAGGACTGTTACTTTTGGCTAGGAGTACCTCCACTCACGGGTAAGTATTGGCATGTTGGCACCTGCCAGAGTACACTTGTGTTGCTGTGCTGCCAAGGGAGACACTCATTTTGTTAAAAATGGGGTGCCTGATGACAAAGAACAGCTCACCTCTAGGTTTTGGTCCAAGGTACACACTTCCTTCTCCTGTGTACATAGCGCAGAGATGAGTTCCCTACTGGCAGTTCATGCATGACATAGTTCAGAGTTTTGGTTTGCACTCTTTGTGTAATTAGTATTAACTGTGAGTTACTAGAAACTGGCGTTCCCTGTGAGTATAAGCTGCCTCACTTCCAGGAGCTCTCTGTAGCTTGACACAGCTCTGTTGAATAGTTCACTGGTATAATCATAGTGGTAATGCAGAACATGAAACAAAATTAGATTGTATTCTGCTTTTTTCTCATCTGTGCTGCCTTTACTTTTTCTTGCAGTGAGATCAATCGGCTGGACCTGGGCCTAATTGTGGAAGTATGGAACAAAGGACTGATATGGGACACCCTGGTTGGGACTGTGTGGATTGCTCTGAAGGCCATTCACCAATCTGATGAGGTTAAGCTGACAGAGAACCTGTATTTGCTCCAGTGTTGATAATTGATGCATTACAAGTGTGGCCTGGTGCAGCCTAGACTGAGCTCCTCAGCAAAACTTCCACTTGCAAAGTCAGGAAGGCTGAGTGAGCAGAGAGGGCTGTCTGATCACATTATTTTTGATTTTGTAGTGAGATCACAACTGAGAGCACTCACATAGGGCTCTTTGGTCTCATTTCACTCGTGTGGACTCAAGAACTAGGGCTTAATCTGTTAAGGAACACAGACAAGTGTCTGAAGTCTGACTGCTTAGTCTTATGGTCAGATTCCTATGACTCACCTCTAAAGACCTCTGTCTTGTCCAGCTGACAAGGTAGGCCCAGAGCACATCTGCAGTATCTTTTTAGGGCTTCTGGTTATAGTGTTGGATGAACCTTGTGCTAATATATAAGGGCAAAAGTAGGAAGTTGGGTGTGCCAATATCTGTAACTGCCCTAATTACTGAGTTTGGCAGTTGTTGCGGATAAGCATTTTTAACTCAAATTTTAGAGTATTTACTTAGAAGATTATTGGATTTGAGCAGGGAGAGATAGATTATATTCTCCATACAAGGAAAAGAATCGGGATGTTCTGCAGTGTGGCCGTGAGGTCTGGCTGGTGCTCAATTCCTTTTGCTGTCCAGATGCTTCTTAGTCCTGTCTTTGAGGGTCTACCTTTGCAGTTTCACTGAGAAGGTAGCACTTCTCTTTGCTGCTGGCTCTGGTAGATGCCTCTGAGATTTGGAAGAAATCCAGTTTGGAAGAAAAAGCCAGTGCATGCTGAATGGATGTAATTTGATGTTAAAATAGGGTTGATAATGCTGTTAAACTCTTTCTGGACTGTATTAGTAAATGTGTGAGAGTTGGTGCATAAAGTTCTTCAGACTTGAATATTCGTTCACATAAGGCCTTTGATTCACAGGAAGGTCCTGGGGAGTGGTCTACGCTGGAGGCAGAAGTTGTAATGAAACATGATGAAATCTGTGGAACCAAAAACCCAACTCCTCATAAAATTTTGCTGGACACAAGATTTGAGTTACCTTTTGGTGAGTGTATTTCCATAACTTACCCAGGGTGCTGACAGTGGAAAGAAAGTGGGAAGAGCTAAAGTTTTATAATCAAGTTGTGTTTATTCTCAGTTCAGTGGAGGTCATGTGGCTGGTATTAATTTTTTGTTTGTCTTCTTTCTAACAAGATCTGAATAAGTATGAAATATTTGAAAGTCCCAGGGTGCTGGAATATTTGGATTAGGAGCATAGTGTTTCAGGACTGTGCAGTCACACATTTTCTTCCTGATCAGGAGCATTTGCTTCTTTGAATCTAGACAGATTTGGCTCTAGCGGAGGTCAAGTGTGTTGTTAGAGCTATTCTGTGATGAGTGCACATGGCCCTCTTAGACATGTGCAGTTCAGTTAGTGAAACATTAATGTTTAGTGCTCCTAAACATTATCATTAGCACAGTATATAAATAACTTAATGTTGTAAGAACTGCCTTTCTGGCAATTACTTATGGTTGAAAAATACAAAATACGGAAAAGCAGCTAATTGGAGCAAACTGATCTCAAGTAAAGTTGTGTGTAATTTTAAAATTTTATTTTACTTAAGCAAACAAAAACAAACCCCAAACCAAATAAACTCCAAAAGCAAGGCCTTAGCTAGAATGCATCCTAGGTTAGCATAACTTCTGTTTCCAGCTCTTGGCTGATGCTTGGGATCCAGAGCTGAGATTATGTTTTTGGGGTTTGTGCTATTTTTTTTTTTCATTCACTGAACATTGAAGTGTTTCAAAGTGTTCTGCCATTGCAAGGCTCATCCCTCTTCCTCTGCCTGTTGCATCCTTTTTTGCTGCAATGCCCTAGTCAGTGTGAGCAATTTGTATCATGCTCTAAGAGGGGTAGAGCATTTGTGCAGGCACTGGCGTTTGGTCAGCACTTGTCAGGATTGTCCGTCTCTTGTGGAAGAAGTTAGGTCATCTGTGGGTCTCATACTCTGCTTCCTGGTGCCAGGGGGTGATGCAGGCTTGGCCCTGCAGGTGGACAGTCAATCCAAGTTGTGTTTTGTGCTGTGGGTGCACTGTTGCGAGTGTGCACAATCTCCTGGATGGTTGTACTTCCAGGAGAGCACAGTGTTCTGTAGGAGCAGTGGCACAGCTCTTTAAATACAGTCCAGTGTGCAGAGGGGAAGAGGTACCTGACACCTCAGCTGTCCTGACAGCTGTCTGATGTTGGTCAGGAGTCATCCCTCTTCCCCATGGAAATATCCTGATGTTCCGCTGCTCCTGTCCATGGGAAGTTTATTGCTGAAGTTACTTTATATGCAAGAGGAGGATCAAGCCTGTTTTGCCTCACCAAAAGCCTTGGTTTTTTGGTACAAGTGTTGAGGCTTCTGGAGGGACAGGACAAGCACACAGAGCTGAAGGCAAGGCTTGTAGCCACTGCCTTCTCATCTGAATTCATTCTGCCACAGTTGCTCGTAAACTGTCACTGCTTTAAGTTCTGGTGTCTCCCTTTTTATTGTGAGCATCCAAAAGAGAATTTGCTTTCTTTTGCCGTTCATATTACAGACTGCATTGCATTTTGAGGTATTTTTTTCAAGCATAAGAAAACAGACTCCATGTAGATATGTTAGAACATCTGAATTTTAAAAATCAAAGTATTTCAGGTAATAATGTGTTTTCTCTTCCCATGCCAAATACTCAAATAGCAGAGATTCCGCACTGTTGTGTTGAACGGTTTTTGTTCTAGGGTGTGAAAAGTTCTCTGCCTGTCCAGGGTTTCATAATGTCCAGGAAAAAATGGGCACATGAGTTAGCTCTTCAAAGGCTGCTCTTCCCTAAAAGAATGCTGCAGTTTTTGCTTTGATCTCTGTCATGATGTGCCATGGCAAGGTCAGAAGCAGGTTGAAAAGCAGGAGGCACTAAGGGTGTGTCATACTCCTCTAGAAAGTGGCATGTACCCACATCCCCTACTCCAGTGGTGCTTCCCCTCACACCATGACTTAAGTGTCTCCTGCCGTCACCTTTGGGACAGAGAAGGACTCTGCACCATGAATTAGGCTCTGTCTCCTTTCTCTTGGAGGGATGCATGGAGCTCACAGCGCTGCCTCTGCATCTATCCCAATGGATTTGCAGGTCAGTTTCTCTTTAGCTGGATGGCAGCAACAGGGATTCTTAGTGCTCTACATGCTAAGATTCTTTGTCATATGGGTTGGGAACTGCTGCTTTATCCTACACAGGGAAGTAAATGGATCAGTGATGTGCTGTGGAAGTTCTTAAGTCAGCAGCTGGGTTGTAGAGGCAAGATTTTAATAACAGCAGGTTTGGAGTGACACTGAAGAACATTGTGTGTCGTGTTTTGTTTCCCAGGTGAAGATCTCCTGGATATTGTAGATGCATGAGAACCAGAGAGATGTGTGGGCTCATGTACAGCTTTTGCTGCTTTTCAAGTTGGGTAAAACACTGCTGCTTGGGATAGCAGCTTTAAAAAAATCTGTGTGTTCTCCTGTTTGGCTGTGCTGCTGTGCTTTCTCTATAATTTCTGGCTGCTGTCTCATTTAGATGCACACAGATGCAGTATCCCAGTGTATTTTAAATATTTCATTGTATTTAGGTGGAGCTTGAGAGGTTTCTAAGGGTGGAGCTTGAGAGGTTTTTAAGGGTTTGTAAAAGAGAATAAATTAATTTGAAAACCAAAAAAACTGAAGTCCTTGATGTAAAACATGATGGTGTATGCAAAGAGGTTTAGAAACTGGTTTGTTGTTTGCACTATATTTATCCCGGGTTAGTTTGCTGTTTCTGCTTCCACCTGATATATTCAAGATTCTTCCTTCCTGGTATCTCTTCTTCTGGTACTCTGGAGACAGCAGCTGCTAAAGCTAAAATAAGTGCAAAACATGCTGGTAGTGGTAGTACATGATGAAGACAACTTAGAGATTTTTTAAAATTTTTTCTTTCATATAATGTTGTTTTCAAGTATTTACCAGGCTTGGAGTTGGGAAGCGGTCATCTCCTATCAAAGGCGGGTGGGAGTTTAGCCTCTTCTTCTGGTGTTAGAAAATAAACGTTTTGGAGGTCATGCAGGAGTTAAACTTTGTCAATGGCTGGATTTATAATGGGACAAAGAAAACTGATGGTGGGCCTCATATGTCCCCTGTGTGTGCCCTGTTCCAGATGCAGTTTTGCCTTGTGGTCAGTTAGTGTGACATCAGCACATGCTGTGCAGGGGTGGCAGCTCTGTGGGCCCTTCTGTGTTGCATATCTCTGTGTGATGGACTGCAGTCCTGGGCTGCAGTTGATGTTCTCTGCCAGCCCCATGTTCCTGAATGTGCAGTCTCACAGAAACAGAACGGGTGCAAATCCTCCGCTACAAAAATGTGAGAAAACAAAGAGTGAGAATGGGAAGTGTGAGGCATTATATTAACCAGTAGAGTGAGAAGGTTTGTGCTTGGTAGTCTATTAAAAATGGCAATAAACTGCCTTCTTCATGGCAAGAAGTGGTTGTTAGCCAAGGCAGGCTGGAGCCACTTTCTCCTCTGATCATATCTGTTTCCTCTTTGGAACAAAGAGAAAAGGGAGGGATACAGCTTTTCTTGGGTGGTTTAGAAAATTTTCTGGTAGGGAGAGGGCAATCATGCTATTATTGTTTTGATGCAGTGAGTGTGTGTTGGCACAGATTTTTCAGGATGCTGCTTTCCAAGTGTAAAATTGTTCTGCTTGATAGCAATTTACTCTGTCCCCCTTTTTTAGAAGTGCAGTGACTGTGCAAATCCCTCACAGGATGCAGTACTCAGAAATGCTTTTGGCTCCCAAACTATAGCAGTTTGGGTCTGTGCCAAGCAGCTTCTAGTTCATAATTGGAGTGAAGATGCTTTTAGTGTTCTCAACACTCCCAGAGTGGGAGCATGCTGATCTGCATCTAACCATGAGATAGGGTAAATGTGCTTTGTTGTTTTAGTGTCTTGGGAACTGAACAGAAAAAAAACCCAGCTCAGCCAAGTAATTTCAGTGAGGACTTACAAAGATTCCCATACATTGGAAAAGGGAAGAAATTTGGGCTGGGAAGAGGGGAAGCCAGGTGAACACTTGCAGGAAAATAGGGGGAGAGAAGGTATCATTTCTGCTTTCAGCACTTGCTCTCCCTTCTGCCAAGCTAGGTTTTGCCCCAGCCCAGGAGTGGCTACCTTGGGAAAACTCAGAAGGAGCAAGGTGATGTGCAAGGTTCAGAGCAAGGACCAGAAAACTTGAGGAGAAGAAAAGCTTTAGGGCTGAAGTGCCTGGTTGTTGCCAAGCTAAGAGAGCTCTAAGCAGGAATGCTGTCATATTTAGCTTCCTGAGGGGTTTAACTGAGTGAAGTGGTCTGTATGGATGCACCAAATTCTCCTCTTTTTTCCTTTTTCACTCTGACAAGTCCCTGTACTGCTGTGTGCCCATTCCAGGTGTTAGGGCACACACTTGCCCTGAGCAGCTGCACCTGGGACCTCCACCCTCATCCCTGCTCAAGTGCCCAGGAATCCCACATCAGCTCAGCCTGGAGCCTTCAATCCTGAGAGATGCTGTGGGAGTTGCTCATCCCCCACCCCAGCCATTGCCATGTCTGTGCCTGCTTATAGACCCTGCAGATTCAGGAGCTCAGAGAAGATGGGGTTCAGCTTTCAGCTGGGGATGGCAATAAGAGCAGGGACAGCAAAGCTTGCAGTGTTTCTGTGTTGGTTTCAAATTAATAAGCACCAAAAGATATTGACTCTACCTGTCTGTCTCCTCTCTGTTGTTTTTGAGCAATTTTGTTTCACTGACCTAAGGCCCTACTCTTTGTGTTCACCAGGTGTGATGTCAGTGTGGTCTTGAGATGTCTGAGACCTCGGGTGGCCTCTCTCTGGACTAGTTAATCTTTTTATCTTTTAAACAGAATTTAAGATAGTGCAGTAATTTCCATTGTAGTCAAAAGGTGAGCAGTGTTGCAGGAGCTGGCCAGTGGATGTGGCCTTACAAGTCATCTGTGATCTCTGTGCTAGGGATTTCCACTCTGTGCATTCCAGAGAAGCAGCTTCAACAAAACTGCTCATTGAGGCAAAACGCAACAGAAGCTTCCTCAAAAACAAACAAAAAAATTCTGTCTCATTGGGATTTTTTTTGGGCAGGTAACTTGACGCAGGATGATAGGCCAGTTGCTTCATGTTTAAAGTTTGCTGTACAATAATTTTACTGATACTAGTATTGACGACAAGAGTTTCTCTGAGATCACGAAGATGTCCTTACAGCAGCTGTTATCTGGACAGTAGCTGATTTTTATCTCTGACTTGCATAAGAAGCTGTTTCAATAGAAGCAGCAGGCCTGCAGTAAAATCTGACAGCTCTGTTTATGAAATGGGCATCTGGGCTGTGAGATAGTAACAGGAAATCCAAGAGACAAGTGTTGCTCCTTGATGCCTGGGCATGCCACTACACCATGGTTTTTGGAAGGCATTGAAGTCTACCCTGAGACTTCCTCAATTTCTGCAGTGTTCATGGTAGTCATTGCTTCACCCCTCCTCGGTCTCTTTAGTCTTAATTTCCGGCTCCAGATTGGAATTGTTTGGGCTCTGATTTTAGTCCTCATTTCATGAGGTTTTTTTCACCTCTTAGAGAAGTGATGTCTTTCCAAGACAATTCTGTGAGCTTTGCTGTAATTTTTCGATTTCTTCATGCCATTGTTGGAGTTTGTCCTCCTAAATCTCATCAGGTTGCATGCTGATAGCCATTCACTTCACTGATACCTTCTTTCTGGATCAGTTCTGTCCAGATGTGCCCTAATTTGTGCAGAGACTATCAAATGAATTTGTGCAGCTGTGATCCACAGCCCTGAAGATGAAAAACATGTATGTGTTTCTACAACTCTAGTAGTTGTGGAAGAGTCTCTCATGTTTCTTTTACCTTGTTTTCTGATGGGTTTTGACAACAAAGTAATGTACTGTACATCAGAAAGAGCAGCTGGCTTTGTGTATTTTGGTTAAAATAAATTACTTTGGTCTCCCTCCAAGCAAGGAGAAATGGGTTGCCTTTTTTTCTATTTATTGCAAGGTTTTTGGAGTCAGATCCTAAGCTTCTATAAAACTCTCAACTGTGGAGTATTTTAACACCCTGTGTGGGTGAGGCTAGTTCCATAAAAATGTGGTGTTTCTGTTACAGAGATGTGGACATGAGTTCATAGTCCAAGGAAGTATCTACTGCTGAAACTTGAAATTCCTCTAAATCTGGCATGTAGCTGTTAACAGTGGTTTGTGTGCTGTTCTCTGCAGTGTTTTTGGGCTTGTTGCCTTCTTAGGATGATTGTTTGTGTGGCTGAGAGAGGACGCATGTAGAACAAACATTCTCTGAGAGTACAAGAAGAAAGCAGTTCTTGGTCCTTTCTGAAAGCATTGTGGGTTCCAATGGAATGCTCACCTGCCAATAAATCTTGGGTGTTTTTTTCTGTGAGGCGTGAAAATGGATGTAACTTTTAGAAACACCTTTTCATCAGGAGGCCACCCTGTCCTGCTTCTCCCATTCTCACCAATGTGTAACTTAGCATATCATTGTGGTGGTGTCCATGGAGTACAGTTCCTTGCAGGACAGCAAAATTATTGTCTCTTTTTGAGGTCACCTGAAAGTGTAAAGAGCTACAGAGATGGGAAAACCAGCTGAACTGGTATAGCGCTATCTTCCTGTTAGCTTGCAGGGCTGGTGGTGTTTTGGCTGGAGCACTCCCTCCATTTCCTGCCTCTGTGAGCTTTGCTGTTTCAGGCCATAAATAGCCAGATTTCAGAAGTTGCTACATTCAGGGATACTGAATGGCTAGGAAAAAAGTCCAAGCAAAACAAATCCAAATCCTTTTTTTTTTATTTTCCAGTGTTTTCACACCACTCCATCCCTAAATAATTTTGTGTTAAGCTTTTCACAGTAGGTTATCTGCATCTCTGAGCATGTACTTTGAAATGTGAAATTTTGAGTGGCAGAAGTCAGTGTTCCATTAGGACAGTATATTACTTCATGGTGTGAAATAGAAAATAGTTACCACAATAAAAGTGACAATGCTTGCTGTCAGTTTGGTAACTTTTCTTGACGGTGAAAATGATGTGATTCATTTCACAATGAAGCTTTTACGCAGTGTGGCATAAAAGTAAGAATGTGCTTTCATGTGAACATGACTGCCTATAACACTGTTTATTCCCTCAAAATATTTAGCTTATTGCTGGCAAAGAAATAAGAGGTCATTAATTTTTTGGTAGCTAATTTGTCTTACACCAGGAGGTGTGCTATTGGTGTGCATAAGATATGCTATTCAAAGGCAGCCCTTGTTCTGCTGGGATTATAAAAAGCCTCCAAAAGATGCTGTTGTTATGTGTTATCAAATATAAGCAAGTGTATTAAAATACACTTGCTGTTGTGAAATGGCTCTCCATCAAACTAATACTTGAATTAAATATGAACTAGTCTGTCTTTCTCTTTCCTACCTTCATGTAAGTGTGCATTTGGTTAATCAGCTTTAAACAAGAAAGCAGGTAAGCCCTTGAACTGTGCTGCTATTTACAATGTTTATTTTCCATCTGAGTGCTAACATAAGACAGTCCTATTTCATAAAAAATCACATGTGGGTTTTTTGTGTGTGATCTTTAATAGTGATGGTGATGAATGCAAAGTTTCCTGGTTAATAAGGTGGTGTGACTTACTCTTTTGACATAGATATCCCTGAAGAAGAGGCCAGATACTGGACCAGAAAATTAGAACAAATAAATTCACTGGGAGATGATGAGGTAAATATCTAAATTGAAAGAATAATGTAGCCCTGAATGTCTTGTAACTAGCTTTTATTCTTTTTATTAGATCCCTGTGATCAGGGTAAATACTAAATGTTGATCATTTACAAGTCTTACAGAACTCTTTTCTCAAGTATACTGTTTAGTGTTAAGGAGGGGAACATTTCTCTGCATGCTGGAAGTGCTTGAATAATGTTTTTTTGTTGATGCGAATATGTTCAAAGGAAAGGCAGCACCGTGCTTTACCCAAGCAGACAATAAAACCATTTTTGACAGGCTGTGGTAGGTTCTTTTTGTGAAATCAAGTCAAAAAGGACTTTTTTTGCAGTTGACTGTCTCTTTGAAGAAGACAAAGCAAGATACTGAATCTTTATTTGAGCTGAGGACTGTTGGACGTGTTAGCTTTTGTCCTAATGCAGTTGTTAATGACTCAGTTTATGTGCATCTTGTATTACAATAAGTCATAGTTATAGCTTTGGTTCCCTGGCTCTGGTGTGTACTTGGCTAAGCAGCTATAAAATAGGGGTTACTTTTTTATTTCTAAGAGAGACTGTTGGATGACTAAAATTTCGTTTGCAGTTCATAGTGTTTGCAGAAAAAGATTTAACATGTTAATGTCTGTACCAGAAATGAAGTCTATAGAAAACCCCAATACTCATGTGTTGATGTGAACATCTAGTAAGAGCATGGTGTTGGTGAAGCCTTTTTGACAGGTCTCTTTCCGTAGCAAGTGTTTCCATAGCAAGATAACTTGCAAAATATTCCGCCAATGTAATGACTTTAGGAGATTTTTGTTCTGGGATCCTTCATCTATTCTTTTCTGTTCATTATATGAGTGATCTGGTTTACTGTGCAGATGAAGGAAATACGGTGGATTTTATTTTTGACTGAGGCTGGAGCAGCAGTTCAGGTACTTCAGTGAGGCACAGGTGCCCTCTAGTGCTTCACTGAGCTGGCACTTGCTGAAAGATATCTTGAGCTTTCTGAGTCTCCCCTTTCCTTGCCATGCCACGCATCTGCTTGCTAACTGCATGCTCTTATCAAATACCAGTAACAAAGTAATATCTCCGCACTTGTGACCTAATGATTTCAGATTTATTATGGCTGTTCCCTGTGACCAGGGAGAAAAAAACCTGTGCAGGGCCTGACTTCAGGTGGTTCTTCTATAGTTCTCCACATTTGCCAGCCACCCAGAATGGGGGAGATCTTCCTTGCATATTCCCCTAAGTAGCAGTGACTTGTAGCTCAGGAACTTCCAGAGCCAGAGGCAGTATCCTTGTGTTGAACAGCACTGAATGGATTTCCCTTTTGTGGATGCCAGTTGCTCTTTAAATGCACCCAGGTCAGTTATGTTTTTGCAAAGGTATTCAGCACCTTAATTGTACATTGCCTGAAGAAATATCTTAATAGCTCTGAGCAAACAAACCCAGTGTTTGAGACACCAGCTGGAGGCAGTTTGTTTGGAGAAATTAAATGACTGATCCTCATGCCTTCAGTCCCTGCTTTCAGCTTTACACATGTCACCTTTTGGGCTGCAGAATCCTGGTCTGCACAGTGTTTTTTAGCACAAGACAATTTTGTGCCTTTGTCTTCTTTGTTTTAAGTGCACCTATCTCTGTTTGAGATGATGAATGAACAGACGAAAGCTGCACAGGAGTATTGAAGAAGCAGGTTCATTTGAAGTTCAGATGGTGTCATAGAAAAGGCTTTCCAGCCTCTCTTCCTACAAACACTTAATACTCCATTTTCGTTTTGGGACTCTTGATAGCCGTTGGGCTGATGCCTTAAAAAGAGCAAACTGCTGCCATTCTGGGATCTCTGAGGATAATAATTCAGAACCCACTGCTGTCCTGTGCTACTGAAATTGCTCATCAGCAGACTTCCTTTCACCACTTTGTCAACCAGTCAGTGCTGTGAGATCCGGCAGTTCTTGTTTTCACAGTCCTGATTAACTCAGTGGGTTGGCAGTTTGCTGATGATAAGACTAACCACCTTTCAGGATCCCTTGTGCATTTTAAATAGCACAGATTGGAAGATAACTGCAGCGGAAGTCTGGGGGTTGTCACCTTCCATGCACAGAACTGGTCATTAATCCCTACCAAATCCAAGGAGAGACTGTCTGGTGGCTGTGTTTTGCACAGGCTGCAGCACCAGCTTACTAAGTTTGCCACTTCCTATGTTGTCAGATCTTTTTTTCCTAGCAAGTACTGTTATTATTTTGGTCAATTGTCCTAATTTTCTCATATCTTTATGTAATACAAGATAGAAGAGAATAACAAAATAAAACCACTGGCATTCCCCTAGGGAACACTTTGATGCTGTAACAAACAGCTTTGTAAAAAGTCAAAGCTGGCTAATTGAAATATCTCTGTTCTGTAACTTAGTATTAAATGAGATGAAAAATTCTTCACTTTGGATGTGAAGTGGATCACAGGAGAGTTTGCAAGTGTTGGCTGGGCAAACATTGTGTTCTTGCATTGCCAGGCGCATTAATTACCTTACTGCTGCCATCTCCTACTCTGGATTTGCTGTGAGCCCACATGAGTTTTGAACTGCTGAGGCTGTGCTGGAGTGTCTAAATGCAAACAGGCTTATTCCCAGTTTGGAGCTCCCTGTCACACTGGCATTGTGGTGTAGAGTCAGATCTTTTCAATGTCTAATTGAAGGTCTCAGAATTAGTAAGAGGGCCTGTTCTGTGTTCTTATTATTTTGGTCAATTGTCCTAATTTTCTCATATCTTTATGTAATACAAGATAGAAGAGAATAACAAAATAAAACCACTGGCATTCCCCTAGGGAACACTTTGATGCTGTAACAAACAGCTTTGTAAAAAGTCAAAGCTGGCTAATTGAAATATCTCTGTTCTGTAACTTAGTATTAAATGAGATGAAAAATTCTTCACTTTGGATGTGAAGTGGATCACAGGAGAGTTTGCAAGTGTTGGCTGGGCAAACATTGTGTTCTTGCATTGCCAGGCGCATTAATTACCTTACTGCTGCCATCTCCTACTCTGGATTTGCTGTGAGCCCACATGAGTTTTGAACTGCTGAGGCTGTGCTGGAGTGTCTAAATGCAAACAGGCTTATTCCCAGTTTGGAGCTCCCTGTCACACTGGCATTGTGGTGTAGAGTCAGATCTTTTCAATGTCTAAAAGGCCTTTGAAGGTCTCAGAATTAGTAAGAGGGCCTGTTCTTGTTCTAAAGCAGACTTCACCTTAAACAGAAGTGCACTTGGTAGCGTGATTTTGGCACCAAAAAAGAGGACACTTCTGGCAGTGTGTTTAAATACAGATATAATGGAGAATATATTACAGATATTTTGCTTTTAGATATTGTGCTTTGATAATACCAGGGATATTTTCTCTTATGTGTGGCATGCAGTCATAAAGTTACCACTTGCTTTCTTATCTCTCTATATTCCTTCCTATTTTTTCTTTCCTTCCTTTAGTATCCCTTTCAGGAGGAAGTCCAGAAGAAACCATTGCCCAGTGCTGCCTCCCAGTGTTGTAAGTTAGACTTATTTCTTCTCAATATTTTTTCCTCTTTCGATGTACTTGATTTCCTTTTGTGGCTAGATGTCAAGTGATGATACATCTGACCAGTGTTTTCTTACTAGAAGTGCTTCAATTTCTGTGCAGCTATGAAAAGCTGTGCTCCTCAAAACGCTGCTCTGCAGCTTCTGATGCCAGGAAGTGAAATCAGGCATTGAGTCTTGCACTTGTTCTTGTCCTTGTGTGCAGTAGGAACAGAAAATGTGTACAAAGTCACTAAGATTGTCAGACCCTTGTAATAGTTATACCAGTAAGAAAATGCTGTGTTTTTTCATGTGACTATATTAGGCTATGTTCTGCTAAAACTTCATATGTTAAATATAATTTTTATTACTGTTTAATGAAATTTTAAGGGGGACAGCATAAGTGGAGACAAGTACTACTGGTAGCCTTTTAAAATGCACCAGAGGTTTGTGTACTTGATGTCTAATTTTTTTCAATATTACTTTTCAATGCTGCGTTGATGGATGGAAAAAATATTTTTACTAATTTCTGCTTATCTTGTCTTGCATTTTTTATGCTTCTGAAAACATGGATGGAAAAATAATATAGCACTTACTGTATCTGATGATCTGCAAAATTAGATTTCTGAAACACTACTTTTAACATACAATAGATGAAAGCTCAGAGATGTCTCTTGTGAATGTCTTATCTACTTTTGGCAACAACATTAATAAAATTCAAGTCTCATAATTTAAACAAATCTTTTATCCTCTAGTTCAAATCCTTTAAGATGTGCATATTACACGTTGCAGCTCTTTATCCGTTAGGCATTGATTATAGGTTCTCCTCAAAACTGATAACATTAGGAAATGCTAATTACTGTTTACCTTTTTTGAGTAGAATTAATATCTCTGTGTACTATTGTTATGTTATCTTTAAAGTATCTTCAACAACTCTAGACATTAACCAATTGTCTAGGAAATCTGATTGTGCTGTGTAGCTAGAACATGTAGAACTCTATATCAAAGTATTCCAGTAATGCTTTCATTCTAATTCATTTCAGGTAACACTTTGTGTCCTCCCTTTTTGGGAAAAAAATATGTAAAGAATAAAGCAGAGGTTTTTTGTTTGTTGGGTGTTTTTTTGTTTGGTTGATTTTTGTTTTGTTTGTTTGTTGTTTTTGGTTTTGGGGTTTTTGTTGTAACTGTTATGCTGTTGTTCTACTTTTGGGGTGTTGTTTTTTTTTTTTTTTGGTGTGTTTTGTTTTGTTTTTTAAATGGTCCAAAGGTACAGTTGATTTGTTAAACCTGTAAATAAGAAACATTTTGGGAGAAACTAATATTTTATTAAATCAAACTAACATAGTGTGTAGAACCCATAATGTCAAAAAGTCAAAGAAAAACTGTCTGCTGTATGAAGTGTCCAAGAAATGAATGTGTTATTTGCTGAAATTATTTTCCTGGCTCTGTGCCCTGGGTTTTCTGTTTGTTCGAGGGAGGCTGATTTGATTGAATCTCCCACGTATTGAGATGTATGGATAAATTAGAGGGAATGCTTCTATGTGGGGAAAATAGCTGCAGCAGTTCCCACATCAGGGTGCTTTTACATCCCCCTGTAGCTGGTTTCTCCCCTGGAGAACCAGCTGGGCTCGTGCAGACAGACACAATGAGAAGCAGCACTATGGCCACCCTTGTTGTGCTGCCTGTTAGCAGCCTGCGTCTTGCTGGGAAGTGACCTTTTGTAAGATTCAGTTGAAGTCCCTGTGGTTTGAACAATTAATGTCACGTAGGAATTAATATAATCATTCATGGGATTAAAACACTCATTAGAATGGATGTTAAACATTTCATAGCAGTCTGTTGTTAATGTATTTAAGAATTTTCAATAAAGTTGATGGCACTGCATGTACTTTGGCTTGTTTACTGCCTGCAAGTATCTGATGTCTATGAATATCTATTTACATGGAAAAAATACAAAATAGACATTTAATATAGAGGTTCTTTGGAAAAATGAACTCTGCCTGCATCATCTTGTGCATAAGAGTTGTCAGCTTGCCTCCATACAGCACAGTCCTTTGAGACTCAAGAGGTTAACACAGAACATGCACAGATTGTATCTCTATTGAAAGCTGACCTGACCTTTGCATGTGACACAGGAGCTCAACCCTTTTTACACAGGAGCAGGGTGGGTGTCCTTTACCACACTAAAATGTGTTCAATATGGAATGTTATTACTTACCATGTGGGTAAGTAATTGGTAGGTGTATTTTTAGATAAAATAAAAACATCCTCAAGAACACTTAAAAGGCTCATCCAATTTTCCACTTAATTTTTCATTTTCATCATCTCGATGTACCAGATGAGTTAGGGTTTCTGTTTGGAACAGAACAGCAAACTAAGCATTTATTCAGAAGAAGGAAAAAAACGTGCTCAGTGTGAGTAGGTTTTACTCCACGAGATTGTTTTCCCAATCCTTCAAAAACCACAAAATTATCTTAAAACCTGAGGCACTATAGAACAAAAGTGTTGCAAAACATTTTACATAGCTTGCACTTAAAAAAATGATTGTACATAACTGCATGTGCCACTGGTGCCCAGCTCAACCACTCTGGGCACTTTCAGAAGACCATTTTGATGTCCTTGCTCTAGCTAGAGAAAATTCTACTCCAGCAGGCAGGATCGAGTTCACTAATTAGGAAGATACATGTCCTTGCATGTTAAAATTAGATTACACTTCTGCCCTCTTCTGCATCTGTACTTTCCACACATCTTTTACCTTTTCCAAACCAGATTTTCTTGTGGTGGTTTCCCACTTCCTGCAGGGATGCAGCTTGTTCTGTTATCTCCCCTGAGCAGAGGGGGGAAGAAGCAGGATGTGAAAGAAGTGGCCCCATCTGAAAGCCAGCCTCTGATCTGAGGGTGGGTTTTTGTCCCTGGGCATGTATGGGCTGCTGCCTTGGTGTGGTGCCATGGGAAATCTCAGCCCACACTGGCAGCAATAGTTTCCAGAGATTGTTGAGCTTTCAGGCTCCCTTTCATAGTCTCAAATGCTGTTTTGTTCTTAGAAGACTCTGACCCATAATTTCTGAGGTAATGTGGGATTTTGGCTTCCTACCTATTCTTAAATGAGGCAGGTGGTTCTGTTGCATGTACAGTCTTTTCTAGGCCCTGCTGATTTTGGCACTTCTGCCTCTTTCCTTCATTATAGTTAACCATTCGTTTTTAACTCCTAACTCCTGTGCATCCCTATGTATTCCTCCTGCCCCAGAAAGATCATGTCCTTCCAACTGACATAACTTCCAGTGATCCCAAGCAATAAGCAATGCACTGGAGTGTCTGTGCATCCAGTTTGGTTTGCCTTTCTGTTAAATGTAGTCATAATTATTAATGTTTTGATATGTCATTGTTAGAAAACTGCAGCATCTCCATATTGGCTTTTACCCACAGCCTGAAATTAAATGTAAATTGAAAAGAAAGCAAGGTTTTGTTGTCTGGAAATTCACTTTAAATTATGCAGATTGAAAATATAGTATTTGATTACTTTGGCATTGAGTCAATAAGCTCTAAGTTATTTATTGTGAAGAGTTACAGAAACGTTTTCCTTGCATGGTCAAGATAATTTCTGGACACATAAAAGTCCATTATAATCCATAAGTGAGTCACACTGTGTCTATTTTAAATGCAGCTCTGACTTGGATCAGTTTCAGTGCAAACTGGGATGAGAAAGATACCCTGCATCTTTGCAGAATCAATTTGGCAGACTTGGTTAATATCAGCTGCTGTAAATACTGCCCTACACCATTTGTCAGGGAGTTTACAAATCTGGAAGAGAGAAAATTTGTTCAGTATGATTCTTGGGAAAGATAGCCTAAGTGTCACTTATTGTCCCTTTTCTGCTTCAGTGTTTTTCTTCCATTTCCTTTAGTCCTTTGCTCTGTGAAATCCTTGGTTACTAGGGCTGTGGTGTGTGTTGATGTTTTGTTGTGGTTTTTTTGGGGGAGTTTTTTTTTTATTTTTTTTGTTTGTTTGTTTGTGTTTTTTGGTTTTTTTGTGTTTTTTTTGTTGGTTTTTTTTTTTTTTTGGTTGTTTATTGGTGGTGTTGGGTTTTTTGTTTTTTGGGGGGGCTGTTTTTTTGTTGGTTGGTTGATTGATTTTGGGTTTTTTTGTTTGTACATTTGTTTGGGTTTTTAAATTTTTTTTTCTTTTTGAGTATGTGTGTGTTTTGTTGTAAGTTTTGTTGCGCTTCTTTTTTATCAGAAGAAGGTAAAAATTTTGCTTGGCTCTGGATAGATACCAGCAGTAGGTTGGTACTGGCTACAAAAGAAGCAATAGCTTCTCATATACTGTTTTACTAGTAGAGAGAACCAAAGCCAGCCTGTACTTGGTCTGCCATAAGATGAGAGAGAAAAAAACAAGATTACATCTCAATGCTCTTTGGTACATGTGTGTATGCACATGTATACAGAAAAAAAATGCTGCAATTGTTTTGGATACACAAGCAGCTTTTTATCTACTTAAAATCTGGCAAAATGTTTTATATACATTCTAGGAATGGATGCCAGTTGATGCTAGATCAGTTTGTTGTGGTGACCGACCCTTCTCTGCACTGATATTTGAGGGAAACAAATTTGCAAAATTCCTCTAATTCCTATGCATGCACTGCTATTTCAAAGGTACCACAAAGGCTGACTTTGAGAGGTTTCATTCCTGATGCTCACTGGTTTTCTTTTTGGGAGCTCAAATTCCACTGGTACATTGGGAAGGCTTGTTTATTCCCCTGAACAGACTGATTGTAGTGCTGAGATGATGATGCTTCCACTGGCACTGATGAAGAGTTTTGTCTGCTTAATAGACAGATGATTGCCTTCCCTGCCCCTTACTCCCCTGCAAGCCCCCAAACACTGATTTTATATTTGTGCTGTACTGTGGATGCAGCGTTTTCTGCTGCCATTAATGTGCTGCTGGGCTGGGGGTATCCAGCCCTGCTGTGGGGTGAATGACCATGGCACAACA